CATATTTCTTGTTTTTTTTTTTTTAAGATTTTATTGGGGAATTTGGGGAAGGGAATTTGGGGAGGGGAACAGACAAGTTGCTGTCCTTTTGTTCTTCAGTCTAATTGTGGAGGACGTCGCTTCACTGGCCCATGTTGGTGTTATCATTGCGCACTTCCTGGGTGAGGCAGTCGCTCACCGGCCATTGGACAGCCACTTATGGCGGCTCATGACAGCTCACGAAAGTGCACGCCAGCTGCTGGCCAGCCCTACTGCAGCCTATGCCGTCGCCAGTGACTCACGGCAGCCCAGCTCCAGGTCAAGCTGTTTTTCACTATCTTACCTATAGAGGGCGCAGTGTCACTGGCCCTCATGTGGGACCCGAACCGAGGCCCTGCTGCTCAGAGCTGGTGTCCCAAGCCAACTCTTAACAAACGCGCCACTCAGCTGGCCCCAGCACATATTTCTTATAAACTGTCTTTGCTCCAGTGTGTTGCCTTTGCTCCTTTGTCAGAGAAGCTGACTATATTTATGCAGGTCTACTTCTGGGCTCTCTATTTGGTTCCATTAATCTATCTAGTCTTTTGTCAGTATCACATTGTCTTGATTACTACAGCCTAATAGTCATGATGTCAGATTGTGTCAGACTCTCATCTTTGTTCTTCAATAGTGTGTTGACTATCCTGGGTCTTCTGTTCCTCCATATAAACTTTAGAATCAGTTTGTTGATACCACAAAACCACTTGCTGGGATTTTGATTGGGATTGCATTGAATATATAGATCAAGTTGGAAAGAACAGACATCTTGATAATATTGAGTCTTCACCATTCATTTTTCTTTTTTAAAAAAATATTTTATTGGGAAATTGGGGGAGGAGAACATTGGGGAATTGGGGAAAGGGAACAGCCAAGTTGTTGTCCTTCAGTCTTAGTTGTGGAGGGCACAGCTAGCTCAGCTCTCAAGTCCAGTTGCCATCTGGCCGCCCGTCGGCAGCTCGCGGCCACTCAGCTCAGCTCAAGGTGCCGTGTTCAGCTCAAGGTGCCATGTTCAATCTTAGTTGCGGGTGGGCATAACTCACCATCCCATGCAGGAGTCAAACTGGCAACCTTGTTGTTAGGAGCATGTGCTCTCACCAGCTGAGCCATCCTTCCACCTGTTGGCAGATCAGCAGTGGCTCAACTCGGGTGCAGCTCACTGGCCCATGTGGGAGTAGGACCCGCGACCCTGTTGCTCAGAGCTTGCACTCTTAACCAACTGAGCCACTCGGCCGGGCCCCATCATTCACTTTTTTCTTTCTTTCTTTTTTAAAGATGTTATTGGGGAATTGGGGGAGAGAACAGCGTTGGGGAATCAGAGAAGGGGAACAGATAACTTGCTGTCCTTTTGTTCTTCAGTCTAGTTGTGGAGGAGGATGTTGCTTCACTAGCCCATGTTGATATTGTGATCATTGCACTCTTCCCGGCTGAGGCAGATCGTCCTGGCTGAGGCAGATCGGTTGCCAGACAGTGGACAGCCACTCATGGCGGCGCATGCCCCCTGTCAGCCACTCACGCTGGCTGCCTGCTGCTCATGATAGCTCACAGCAGCCTACTGCAGCCTATGCCGTCGCTGGCGACTCACAGCAGCCCCGCTCCAGATCGAGCTGTTGTTCACCATCTTAGCTGTAAAGGGCGCTGCGTGAGTAGCCTATGTGGGATCCAAGCCGGCGGCCCTGTTGCTCAAAGCTCACACTCCCAAGCCAACTGTTAACCAACGAGCCACTTGGCTGGCACCCCCCAAATCATTCATTTTTCATTCAACTAAAATTTCATTTGTATAATTGAACCAACGCTCTCTTCTTCACAAGATTGTTTGAAATTTTTTTCATTCATTCAGAGAGCACTGTGAACTCTGTGACAATGTCCCTATTCTCAGGGAGCTTATCTTTTATTGGGGAGGGAGGTAGATAATAAGTAAGCATACAAATACATTTAATAATTTCAGGTAAGTGAAGAAAGCATGTGATAGAGTGACTGGCAGTGAAAGGGCTATTTAAGGTCAGGGAACTTCTCTGAGGAGGCAACGTTTGAACTATGTATGACCTTGATGAAAAGGGAGAGGAAAAAAATTCAGACAACAAAGACGAAGGCTCTGGAAGCAGCAAAAATGAACTTAATGGTTTGGAGAAGGGCATGGTGGCTATAGTATAATGAGCAATGAAGTAAAAAAAAAAACACAGAGGCCATATCCTATAGGGCTATTTTATTTAAAAAAATTTGTTTTTTAAGTTTTTATTTTATTTTTATTGGGGAATTGGGAGGTGGGACAGCGCTGGGGAATTGGGGGAAACGGAACAGACAAGTTGCTGTCTTTTTGTTCTTCAGTCTAGTTGTGGAGGACGTTGGCTTCACTGGCCCAAGTTGGCACCATCATTGCGCTCTTCCTGGG